ACGAGGTCGAGCCACGTAAGCCCTTTTTCGGTAGGTCACGTACGTGTTGCCGATGCGCTCGACTGATCCACCGCGATTGGCGCCTTTCCACACAATCAGAGGCGGCAGCTTTCGTCCTAATCCTGTCACCGCAAGTACAGCAGCTATGCGCATGGACGCAAAGCCAGTTGACTTGAGCGCAACATGGCGGACGCCAGTGACGTCAACAGTCTGGCAGCGGGGGTCTTCGACGTAAACTGCGTTTTCATCCATCAGCACTGTGTAATCCACATTGGGTCTGCCCTTACGAGCCCTCAAGAACTCCATGGAACGCACGGCTCTGTCCGTTAAGACATCATCAGTCAAAACTGCCAGATTTGTAGTCCAACTTAGCGGAAGATCGTATCGGTGCACGAACCCGCCCACCCACTTGCTTGACCCGAGGAATTGAGTATTACCAAGCCCAGCTTGTGTGAGGTCCTTCCCCATACAATAACGGTTCCGACTTCCCAACTTTTTCCGACAATAGGGAAAGAGGAAATAGACGAAGCGAAAGCTATCATAGAGCTTAAATATGAACTGTTCAGTTAAGCACGAGACAAACATAGGTTGAACGAGCCCAGTCTGCTTTCATGCGGTGCTTACAGCCGCAAGGAAATCGTCTGCAGAGGCCCCTGGGCCGAGAAAATCGACTTTTTGTGTTTTGCAGCATATTGGGTTCGGAGCAGTGTCCGCTCGAGCCCGCACATTCATTAATGAGCGCCGGAATTCGGTCGAGGGGATTCTCTTTGAAGCAGTTTGATGACTATTACATTGAGTGAGAGAAAAAAACTTAGTGAGGTTTTATTCTCGACCAATAAAGAATCCACGCGTCAGCTCAGAGACACGCACCCAACAAAAAGGTTGCCGACAAAGCACTTCTGCTCTCATTCTTCAATTTTTGGGCCGTCGCCCGCAGATCTCCGACTATGATCGCCTTCAGCCCAGGTTCAACCCCCCCCCCCCCTCCCCCTCTTTGGCGGTGCAGCTCGATGGATCGAGCGCAGGGCTTCGCCCTGAGATAGCGGGATCAATACCCGCCGTCGCCAACTTGTTGGGTGGAGAACACTTACTGGTGCTGTTGGCCGAAGAAGCCCGCTGTCGGTCCCGCAGAGCCAACTGGTTCTAAAGGAGTTTGTGTTGGTTATTGATGCTGCTGGATGTTTGAGATACTTACCGTTGCTAGAATGTCTTGTGTGTCTGCATGAGCAGGATCGACGATGCGTTCGGTGGAGAGGAGGACTTTGTACGCTTCTATGCGTTCGTCAAGTGCACCAGCCCTATGCAATGGGCGAAGCGCTCGAAGTACGCTTCCTGAACCTTTGGCGTTGCTGTTGGTGGGCTTCAAGAAGGCGAGAACAGCGAACTCGGCTCGACAGCCTACCGCTAGGACTTGTCCTTGTAGTCTGCTGCCTGCTCACCCAAGCTAAAGCCGCCGCCCAAGAAAATCTTCATAAAGGCGACGACGTGGCGAGACTCCAATTTCTTCTGGCGATCCGTGGAGGTCCACACGCGAGGAACTTTGGTGTACCACTCGTACCATGTTGCCGACAGGTTTGTAGCTTGCTTTTTTCTTCGCTTCTGTTTTGGGCCTTGATCTGACGTTTCTTGATTGTGCTGGTCTTCAGTGGCCGTCTCGTGTTCTCGTACACCCTTAGACTTCAGTATCCTCGAACAGAGCTCTTGAATGACAGCAAGAGAGTGCCCCATTGCTGGACATATCTGCTTTGTTTCTTGTGTTTGCTGTGGCTCTTCAGCATGTGTACTTGCCTCCACATTCAACGCGACGGACCACGCAAGCAATTCCCTTGTCGAGATGCCTGCAGTCGCCAAGCACTCCTGTACGCGCGTGGCGATGGGGGCTTCGGGAGCTAGTTCTTTCATATGAGGGTAAGGTAAGCGGTGAGTACATCAAGAACCTTTGAACTCACATTCAGCCGTTGTTCTTTCAGGTCTGTGCAGGTACTAAAACCAGGCCCTGCAAACAGCCAAGTCTCTCGTGGTGTGGTCTTGTGTAGCGACGTCGACGACCGTTGGAGAGGCGTCGCAGTCCCAACCGCGCAAGACCCGAGCCACCTTCCGGTCTTATCGGGCCGTGTTGGTGATGTAGGCGAACACCTTACTCGTCTTCGTCCAGTCCCCACGCTCCGCGATCGAAGCTCCACTGTGCGACGAGGTGGTCGTCGCCGTTTGCGTGCTGCCCCCCCCCCCCCCCCGGTGCAACGTGAGCTCGGCGGTGACACCTGCAGGCTCAGCCACGCGCTTAAGCATCCTGTTTACGTGGCTGTGCATGATGTTTTCTTCTCGTCCTGCTTCTCCGTCTTGGCTGGCGTGGTGGCTGACGTGCTCGTTTCAGTAGCTTGTGTACATTCAGGTGCCGCTGGATCAGTAGCTGGGGTTGGCGGCGAAGCGGTCGGGGCGACAGCAACTTCTAGAGCTTGGGGTTCGCCTTCCAGCAAGTCGTGCAGTGGGCGCCCGCATTCAACAGCGTCTTCGACTCTTGGAGTCATCTCCGGAAGCTGGCCGAGCAGTGACGCTCGTGGTACTACCTGCATCGTCTGCGCCACCGCCAGAGAGAAGAGAGGGCAGGTCAAGAAGTCGCTCTTGTCCGGAAGGAGCGTCAGTCCCTGCTCCTCGGCAGTCTTCGCCGGCAGCAACCTCAGGTAAAATACCCCGTCAGCTGAAACTGACACGTGTTGTTTCATCAGGCAGGCCAGGGTGGCATCTTGGTAGTCGGAATTGACACGTGCAGTACTATACACGTAGCGTATTAAACAACGTAAATCATCTTTAGTACAGGGTAGGGCCTTATTGGTGAGGCCTCCATTTCCACGTTTTAAACAGTGCTTTTCTAGCGTTTTCCCTTGCTTTAGCAAGATCAACTCTGTAGCCTCTCGCAAGTGAGGATACTTGTCGAATAACGACAGTTTAACGTTTCTGTAGTATGAAATCGCTGTGTTACGAGCTAGTTTGCCTTTCCTACCTTCGTAGGTTGCCAGGTAGTAGACGAATCGATCCGTCGTAGCGGCAAGCCGTTAGCCAGAAAGGTCCATGCCAATACTAGCCTAAACAAAGTCCATCCGCTTGAAGGCACTCTCGGCCGTGCTCGTGCCCTTTTGGTGTTCGTAGGGATGACCAAGTGAGGCTCATGGTGTCTTGTCTGTTGTGGACTCTTGTTTTTGTTTTAGTTAGTGACGAGTAGCTGTCAACATTCCTTCTCTCCATTTGTCCTAGGCTAGGTTTACGCTTAATTGTATGAATGACAAAAATATTCTTAACATAAATTTTGTCTCAATTGCAGTATTCAGACATACACATTTTGTCCAGACTTCCGACAAATATTTGTCTGAAGGCGTCAGAACGACACACCTAACCGTAACGTTTTCAATTCGCTAAAAATACACAGAGAATAAAATTTGTCAGAGATCTGATTGGCTAATATTAGGTGTGGTGTACCTCGATCACAATCATGATGTTTTATCTGTCGGAAAGATCACTATAATACATTCATCCATTTCAGCGATGAGATCTCGTGTAACCTTTTTCTTCTCTGAGCGGAGGTACAGCACACTATCAAAGATCATGTCCTCCACCTTGGCTAGGCGAGGCTTTGCGCCAGCCCCTTTTAAGTGCAAGGCGCAATAGGAGCGCTCTTAACCGACTCTTTTTGCTTCCACCAGTAGCGAACCTGGTCTCCAGAAACCTTCCATCCACGCTCGTTCTGGAAGTACGTTGCAGCTCGAGTTGGAACTTCACCATTCTGCTCAATCCAGGCGACGACCTCTTTTTTCTCGGCCATCGACTGGGCAACACGGAAACGAGGCATGGGGGCTAATGTGGATGGAGAGAAGGAGGGGAAGAGGTCGGGATAATGCTTGCTAGACGCAAATTGAACAATGATGGCCCGTTTTGCTGGATGGTGTGCGTGCAAAATCGACGTGAGGTCAGCAGGGGACCACGTCCATGGTGTACAATTTGAAGTAGGTGCTGTAGGCTTAGAACACCCATAAGTGCAATCAGATTTGGCACGTGGTATTCAATTAGGAGAAGGTGCACTAATCGGAAAAATCCGTTATAACCCTTTCGCGAGCCACTTTAGTGAGCTATAGTATACAAATCTAGGATAGTCGGTATCAAAAGGAGGCATTTTGCCTCCTTTAAGGCGAGTGATTGTCCACCTTCAAATCTTCCAAATGTGA